GAAAGACACATTTGAAACTACTGCATCTTTCAACAATCATAAAATTCTTGGCTACTAGAAAGGCACTATCTTCATCAAAACAGTTCAACCACAGCAGACCATTGCGCAAGGATCAGTGGTCCGTTGTTCGCGAGCACCATAGAAGTCTACACAAACAGATAGATAAATAGATAGATGGACACTCGGAGAATAGGAAAATGCGATAATTTTCAGTTAATGCAAAATTCTAAGGCTGCTTTATTGATGACAAACTTGCTGTATTGAATGAAAGCGCACGAGCTTAACTAATGCTAGGAAAAATCAACTAGATACCACAATTTTGGACTCACAATTGAGCACGAATGTAACTGTTCTTTTTTATTTCTCAAATGTATAAAAATTCGATAACAAAGAAGGATCTTTCACAAGGAAACCAGAATGGGGGTATTGTCTTAACCGAGGACGTTTCTGTCCAATACAGTGCAAATGATAGTTGATGCACGGTTTGTTCCCTCGAGCCAGGATAATCTATTCTGATGAACCATCAGACTTTTTCAACATATTAGTAGCACTGCATGCCTCTAACTGTTACCACGCCATTTGAAGGTGATCCAAATAAAAAGCGGATAAAGCGGAAGTAAAATTAGATGTTTGGAGGAACCGATAATGCTGCTTCTCTTAAACTGTGACAGGACGTGAAACGAATACTCAATTAATCCGTATGAAACAACCCCGTTTCTTCAGTTACCTACTCCAGTGATTAACTTGTTGCATGTAATTGCGGTGGTAGGTTTGTCATCAACCAGTTGATCGCTGGCGGGAGGAAGCTTGATGCTCTGCAGTGTCGATGGGAATTATACTTTCAAAAGTAGACAACTGAAGAGACAATGCACTCTATCTCTTTGTGCGTCCTTTTAGAACAGTAACTACCGCATGAATACCACACAACTAAAACCCAAAGGATACCAGGCCTAAAACGCTTAAGTATAGCGTTCACGGCAGAAAAAGATTAGGCAGGTTGAATAGCCTCTCATCAGAAACACTGTTATTTCAATGGGTTACGTCAAAGTTTCTTCGCGAACATTCTTAACGAAAACGAACTCAGCCAAGAAAAGTACAATCAAAGAAACCACAAATTTCAGTTTACTGATGAAAAGGCTTCTTGGGTTCCCCGCTTGTTCGTAAAGTACATGGCATTTCTTCTGTATGCATGCAAAGTGATGGGCGTGTCTGTTTTCCCCCTGAAAGAACCACTCGGAGTTGTTGATGAGCACAGAAATGTGGTCACATAGGATTAGGGCAAATACACTCTCTACCTTATCACAAACACTGATAAAGACCCACTACACATAAATGGGTGGAGAAGTAAAGGGGAAGAGCAAGGGAAGATTGATGAGTTGTGTGTTACCCAGTTAGGGAAGTTAGTTTCTAACTATCCGAACAACAAAATTATTCCTGAAGAATTATATAAATTAAAAGCAATTGTGAGGCTAAGGATACCACCGGGTGGTGATTAAATACACCAGGATGCACATGGCTGTTTGCTTTGGAATGTGTAACCACTGTTCACATTTTATGTTACCTTGATTTGTAAGTATGGGGAAATCACAGCTCCTTGAAGAGCCCCGGAGTTGTTGTTTCGAGGTGGCCCTCCCGAATCTAGTGGTTTATACCCTATCGGTAAAATAGTTGGATAGACAAGGTAACAACTGCTTGGGGCATTCATACGATTCCAGTTTCTGTAACAACTTAGAAGTCCAGAAAAAGCACAGAACAGATTCAACACATTTATTCAAAGACTTCTTGATAAAATGACTGAGGGTGGAGACTGCGTCAAAGGTGCACCTGTGAGGCTTGCAGAAGAGCTATTTCGGATCACTGGGAATCTTTATAGAATGATGAAGGCGTTTGAGGATGGCATTTTCGGTCAGTTCAGAAGCTAAAGATGTTACTTTTATGCGACGAAAATGTTTGGATAAGGTAGGAGATATGGATGCTTTGAGGATTGGTATGATTGTGACCGGCCTCCAACAATCGTGGCTAGGAGATGTGTTAAGAGAGTATTTAGAATGAAGATAATTGCCCCAGCTAGTGAAGCAGCACCAAATTTGAAAAGAGCTGAGTGTAAATCATTCGGGCCTGAAGCAGATGACGAATGGCAACTAAACAGTACAGCGAGCAAGCTTGTTTTCGTAACTTCGTCTTCAGGCCTTTACAGTTATGTGTGTGTGTTCATATCTAATGTAAACATAAATGTGATTGGACCATAGAGGTTATGTATTAAAATGCAACAATGCCTATCAAGTTCAATCAGGACCACTGAAAATCTCCATTTTCTTTTCGACTCCACTTTCAACTTTCCTTTCTTCTCCTATTCTTCATCTAAATGGGCAGCCAAAAGGCAGCAGCCAAAACCGGTGCTCGAATATGTGTGGTTAATGGTTGTTCAAACTGAACTGAACTGAATCAGGACGAGTGGATAAAATGGGGACAGTAGGCGAAGGGAAGAGGGGAGTTCAATTCTGAAAATTACGGTGACCTTTTTCCTCTTTTCATGTGCCATTTGTCACGCCATGTTGCGTCATCACGACACGACTGAGGTCAAGGTTCGGGTCATCACGTAGGTTTGGTTGGAGCCAAGGCAACCATCTTCTTCTGTTTGCCCAGTGGTGGGTTCATGATTTTGATTGCTACTGCTTCCGCTGT